GTGTATTATAATTTTATTCTTTATTTACGAGTATTAATATTAATATGATATTTTTTATATTTATATGTACTTGAAAAATTCGTTAAGCCAATGAATTGAAAACACACTAGAATCTCACATTAGACTGTTTAGATTCAGGTTTGTTTTTAGAATAATCAACTCTGTTCCCATATACATTCATATATTTATTATATTTAACTATATTCTGCAATAAAACAGTGTTTTATGCACACATTACTGATGAAAAAAATAAAATAAAAAATAAAACATAAAAATTAAATATTAACGTTCATACTAAAAGATGATTTATTTCCATCCATATATTCATTTTTATATCGCAATTTTAATGGAGTTTCACAATAATAAAAAGAAGTCCACATATAGCATATTACGTACATATATGCATACAAATAAAATAAAATGTAAGCAAAATTTAAAACCAAAGTAAAACTAAAATTGCATATTGGTAACACACACACACAAAAAAAAGGAACTGTACGCCTTTCAATATGATTAAACCACTTTTAAAAACTGGCTACAATCGAAAACCAGAAAATATTTCAAAATTTCTTTATACATATTAACATACTTATGTACATAATACTTATATAAAAATATTTAATAAATGTGGAAACTCTTAGAGTTGAAAACGTAGAGGAAAATAAAAGCAACAAAAAAAAAGTTCATGATCCTCACATGGTCATAATTTAGCTTTTCTAGCAACATCATTAAGCATACTATAATAAAATAATAATAAAAAAAAAACAAACTAACAACACTGAACGCAAATTATTTTTAGATCATCGAGTGGGCAGAAATCAGGCGGCCGTGTTTAACATCATTAAAAAAAAAAAATACCTACTAGTAAAGATAATTTAAAAATAGTGTACAGTGTACCTTTCTAAATAGTAATATAAAAAAAATGAATAAAAGACAAAATAAAACTAGCATAAAATCAATACCTTTTTCTTTTACGCTATTTTTGTTTTAATAAAAAATGGGAATGAATTGAAAATATTTTAGAAATGCAATATAGGAAGAATGTCAATTCTCACTTGTTACATATTTTACTATACATACATATGTATGTATTATATTCGTGCATAATATTTATTTGAAAATGAATATTGTGTATAAGATGTAAAATTAGTAGTTATTTCTCATATAATAAGTAACTATAGGTCTACCATAAAAATTTATTATATAGTCGTTTCTTAATCTAATTCAAATAATAAAAATAGATCAAATCCATTTTAATTATATGTATACATAAGTATGTAAATAAAATTTTATAAATTCCAAAAATTTTTTCAATGTCTAACCATGTTTTAATTCAATAATTTCTCGTATTTATTTTCACGTATTATGTTCGAAATGAATTAAATAACTTTTTTTTCGCATTTTAATTCCAAGTCGCACCTAGTAACCAACATGCACATCCCAATATTTTATTTAACAAAATAAAATTTTTTCAAAATGCGCATGATTAATGATGACAAATGAATTTTTTTTTATTAAAATAAAAAATCTCAGGCAATCTAAAGTGCAATGTCTCCTTAAATCTTTTATTTAAATAACAGATTTAAAACGTAAATTTACATATATGTATGCCTATATATGTATGTACATATAAAAATGCTATATACATAGGTACATATATAAACTTTTTTGAATAAAATATTATGTAGGTATAGAAATTTTTCACAAGAATATATAAAAATATCTTTGGAGACAAATTATTTTTTTTCATTTTAATACTTTTCTTTTTAATGAAAACGACGAAAAATTATGAAAAATTTACATACAGAGTGTCTCATTGTTAATAAACATAAAAATTTTATTAATTATATAAACGAAGTATGTATTCTATATGAACAATCTCAAAAATGAACGCCCGGAACTCCAGCAGTCAAACAGTTGCTTGTTGAAATTTTTACAAAAGTAAATTTTATGTGACCAGTTAAAAACAGGAAACTATACATGTACATAGGTACCAATTGCACTGAAAGTTTATAGGTACTAGTTGATCACTATAAGCAGTTCAATTAAAAATCTAAATAAATAAATGATTAATTATGTACTTATATTATATTCTTCTAGTTCACGAAATTTAAATTTAAAACTTATTTGAATGAAACATTGTGTATATATTCATACATATATGTATGTGTATCGATAAGAATTAATAAAAACAAAAAATGTTTAAAGCTTTTCAAAGTCAAGAAAATTATTAACTTTTATTTTTTCCTTTTAATTTCTTTCATTTTATGTGCATGTTAAGTAAAATTTTGTAAGAATATTTTTTTTTTGACATAAATCTTTTTCTTGTCAAAATAGAAAATTAAATGGAATTCAAAAATATGAAATAAATTTTACACATGAATATATATATGTACATATGTATGTACATAGGTATATTTTTTTTCCTATAAATAAAATTTAAGAGTTAAAAAAATTAATATTTCATAAAATTTAAATTTCACACAATTGGCAATGTATTTATTAAAAATTTGAAACAGTTTCGCTTATTCACCTTTTTTAAAATAATTGAACTAAAAAAAATACATATGTATGTATGTACATATGTAATTTTAATAAATATGTATATTATATACATATGTATACTTATATGTACATAAAATAAAAATCAAATTGTCTACAGTAGAATTATAAAATTTACATTATCCGTTCACAAATTTTTAATTTATTATTTTTTTGGCAAAAGAAACAAGAAATTTGAATAACAAAAAATTACTCATATTTTTCAGTTTTAATTCGCTTTTGCAGAGGTGATACATAGTATTTGATGCAGTCTAGATTGCATATACTTATATATATTATGTACTTATACAAATCATATCATTCCGAATTTATAACATTACCAATTAAGTTCGGAAACCTACACCACATAATTATTATTACTCTACATGCTTTGTTTATTCATAGTTTCTATGTATAGTTTCTTAAGTCTAGAGTTTGAATATTAAACATCATTTAAAAAAGTCCTGTACCTAATTACTAAATAATTTTAAGATATAATTTTTAAATGAATAAAATCAAGATGCTCCAATTTATTTTTATTTTCTATCCTTATTTTATTTAATTTATAACTAAAAGTCTAATTTTTTGAATTTAAATTATCACTGCATAATAAATTAATTCTAATTAAATTTATTCAAAAATTTATAAATTAGATAAAAATATCCAATTTAAAATCATAAAACTTATAGAAAATCTAAATAAATTCGGAAAGTTTTGAAAATTAATAAACACAAGCTAAAATTAAAACTACACTTAAATAAAATTTATTTAGAACCGGTTAAACTAATTAAGGAAATATTTACAATATTTAAGTGTAAAATAAAAATTTTAATAACAATAAGATTTTAAAAAGATGTTATTTAAAATGGTTTCAACAAGAGCTTAAACAACCAAATAACTATCAAAATAATTCGATATCTTAATGAAAAAATTATTTTTGCGCATCTAAATAACGTTATTAGAAACAACAATTTTGATTTAGAAACACAGTAGAGGCGGCTTATTTAAAAAATAATTTCGTTGGCTTAATATTAATTTTGTTTTATACATAACAGAAGTAACTAAAATTCTCTTATAAGGTTCACTTTGTAAAATAAAAATTTTCATTTACTTTGCTAATTTATTTCATAAATCCATTACAAATCATAAAGGAGAAGCAAAATACTTTAACAACTCTACTACTTAATACATAATAATTATTATAAAGACGCAATAATTCAGTCGATCTTAATTATTATTCAAAATTGAATTAAGTCATGAGATTTTACTAATTATTCCTGTCGGTTTCTTTTTATTTATTGTTTGCGAAAAAATATAAGTATATACTTACATATATACTTATTTGCTTTAAAAAATTGGCATATATTTTTTAACAAATAAAAAATTTTGCAAAAATATTTTAATAAAAAAAAAATTCTTTTTCAAACATGAAATCTATTATAATCCCCAAATATAAAAACGTGAAAATAATTATGGTTGTATATTGTGGAGAAATAGCTACACCTCTATTTATGTCGATATATGAAAATATTTATATATAATTTTTTGGCAAGAAGCGTTCAAAAGTTTTTAAAAGAAAAAACTAAAACCTTTCAAAAGGAAATCAAAAATGTTTTTAACTCTTTTTTTTTTACTTTGTTTCTTAATACAAAATATAGGTGATATACCAGTATTTAAAACTCATTTCTGAAAATCGGCTTTTAGCGTAATTTATTGAATATAAGTACATATGTATATTTAGTACACAGGCACTAAGTGAATTATGCTCATTAGTTTTGTCCTGGACAACTACTTAATGTTATATTAAACGATAGTACCTAAAAGGAAAAGTATATACTAAAATATTTTTATCAGTCTTAATCTAATGTGGTCTTAATCAAACTATCCTAGATTTTGTATGTAGTGGACAAGGACAGTAATTATATATAACTAGTTAGTTCGAAACCGAATCCTTAAGTATTTTCTAGGTATGCCTCAAAGCAGGGTGATTCCCTTATCATTATCTTTTTTTTTTTTAAATTTCGTTATATTTTTCTTAAAGGCTTCAAATCACACCAAATGGATGTTACGTTTAAAAGTTTGACCACTATTGTTATTTAATTAACTATTGTTAATTAAACCACCATTTGAGGAAAATGAGCTCATTGCAATCCATTCTTATTTATTCCCTACTTATTTACAATTTACTTTGCCATTATTTTGTAGCTCAGGTATTTGTATCAACAATAATTTTATAGAAAATCATAGAAGAATAGGAAATATGCGTTGTGTACAAAAATTTGTTTTTTTTTTTTTTTTTTTTATAAAAATATTGTTTTCTTTTTACGTATTTTAGGTCATTAGTACAGTCACTTCTAATAATATCGCAGCTAAAAAATTATTTAATTTATAGAGTATATGTTGGTATGTATAACATAATGACTATAAAATAGTGAAACAAAAAATCAATATTTTCTTACCTTGGAAAGATATGAGTTAATCCAATTAACAAAAGTTTTCTTTTGGACACGTTCTTGTTCCTCTGAAAATATAGAATAGAAAAAATTCAAATGAATATTTTTTTGTTTTTATAAATTAAAATTGGATTGAATTTTGTTTGTAATGTTATTATAAGGATTTAAAGTTTAAAAACAGTAAAATGTAACACAAATTTTTTTAAGAGACAAACATAGAAGTAATATTTTAAGCTTTAGAAACTTTAATGCAAAAATCGATTTTAGTCAAATGATTTCTAAAAAGTTGAGAGCAATATTAAGATTTCGAACAATCGTGCAACAATCCGCACCTTCCCAACCGTATCCTTGCAATTGTCTTTTGGGACATTTGATCATTTTAAAATTCATTTGTTTTAAACTATGAGATCAAATTTCAGCAAAATCTTATACATACTTATTACATATTATAAATTTTTAAATTAAACAAAGCTTAAACACATTAATGGACGTGGAAAATCGCTGCCGAATGCAAGAAATTATGTATGCACATAAAATGCATAAATATTAAAATTTAAAGTGTTATTACTGCTTTCAATACTTCCCAAATTTTTTTAAAGATTTTCAGCAAACTCCTGATCTCTTCAAAGCAACTCTTAAAATGCGCTCCAAACTGCAGTTCTAGTTTTTTTTACTACTGGAAAAGCATAAATAGCGGTACAAGCCAACAAAAACTTAAATTGTTGGTTTATACTACATTTTCTTTAACTCGTTCAACGCGCTTAAATTTTTAGCTTGTTCCTTAATTTTCTTTGTAACATTTAGCGCTATACATAGCGGAAGCATAAACTGTTAACATTTATTAATTAAAGCCAATTATGAACTCTTACTATGAATTTACAAATATTTTATCATCAATCTTTTTAATTTTCTCTCTACTTGCTTTAAATTTTTACAATTTTAAAATTAAGAACTCTTCCACTTCTGGCTTGTTAAAAACTGTTAAAATTAAGCTTCTTTTTTTAAATAACTTTAAAACAATTGACATTAATGGAACAGAATGGAATTGAAATATTTCGTTTAAATATCAAACCACTTTTTGCCGTCGATTATTCGCTCAGTGTTCACATCAGAATTCACTGAAGTCTCATTATACGTACTGTTTTCAAAAAAAAAATGGCGTAACTAAAAAACATTTTTAAATTTTCTTTAGTTATTATGGTTTCAATTAATCATGAACTTTAGAAGTTTATTACTTCAATTTCATATTCAATTGTACACCATTTTTTTGATATATAACATTAAAATATTAAAAAATACTCTCCGATACAAACACTTTTATCTATAAAGTAATTGATCACAGTGTATATTTTTGAATATAGTTAAAGTATCAGTCATAACCATAATTATAACTGTTAGACTTTCAAAATGTTCTTTAAAGAATGTTTTAGTAAATTTGTTTCAAAAAATTGCATAGTACATATAACTTTTCTTAACTGATTTAATATAAATCACAGACCGTTGACTTACTGTGACCCTTGACTGTATAAACAATTTAATAAAAAAAAAATTCCAGAAAAGCTATTAGAAAGGAATTTCCATCGACAGTGTTTACATTTGATACTTGTTAAAGCTACAATATAAGAAGTACGTGAAGCAAAAAAATATTACAGTAGGGTTGAATTACCTATTCAAAACCGGTTCAAGATATTTAGCAACGCAGTTAAATGTGATTTAAAATTGAATTATTTGTGGACTGTAGATATGCTAATAAATTTTGAAAGTTATTTTTCCATCACAACCACGTTGACTAACATGTTGAGTCATGTATGAATATAGCATAAAAACCGATCTTGTTCTCAATAGACATACCGTCTTAATGTTAAATGTAAAGTTGAATAACTCAAAAGTCTTATACGTACTAAAATAAACGTTTACTTTTTTTCTCGGTCAAAATTTCACTTTGCTCTGGCTGTTTCGGATTTTTACATCAAAACGGAACTGTCATACAGATCTGTCAATTAGACATCCAGATCTGTCAACCAAAAGTTCTGTAAAGAACACAATTTCTTACGAAAATTTGTTATTTATTCACATTCTTTCGGAATTCATACTGTTTACTTTCATTTTGTAAAAAATTTTTTTCTTTTCATTTTGGCTATTTATATCAATAATTTTTAACTCTTCCTAAGATGTCTTACTAAATTTTAATTCGCTTGTGTTAAATGCACGTTTATTTTAGTTAAAATGAAGTAAGCATAGACGATCAAATATAAGTTACATATAATTACTTAAATTACATAATATTTTACCTAGTAAAAATTTCAGTACGTATGTAGACTGGTAATGAAATACGCGTTGTAATAAAAAGGCAATTAAATAAAAATTTATTTATTGATGACGTAGCAAAAAAGTACCCGTTTAAGCAAAAATATAATGCATAAAAGTACACATTCGTCGTGCTTACTTGTGGAAAAATGTAATGGCTAAAAATATAAAAATGTTGGCTCCCATTTTAATTTGTTTAATTTTAAGTTCTTTTTTTTACGAAAAATTATTTTTTACTTAGTTACTTAAGAACATACAAATAGGTAGGTGCATTTGAAATGATAATAAAATTTAAATAAAATTGAGCACCTATAAATATGTACATATGTAAATGCATAATATTTTATTAATAAAATTCATTTTTATAACAGTTTAACACGAAACGAAGAAAAAGTAAAATATTAAGATAGCGTGAAATATAATTTCGTATACATATAGAATTATCTTCCTTTTTTTCTTTGAAATATTTTCATATCTGGCATATCAGGTAGGCTTGTCTTCTTATTCTTAATAAATAATAATAGGGAATGAATTTGAAAATGTTTGAGAAAACTATTTTTAGAGTTTCCTCCTTGTTATTCATATTCCTTTTTTTTCCATTTTTTATAATTTAATAGAAATAGTTTTCTTGAATATGAGAAAGTTTTCTTATTTTTCCAATTAATTTCATGTTTCCGTTTTATAAAGTAGAAAGTTTTTTTTTCATTCAAAAGGAACATAAATTTTAGGTAAAATATCATTAAGTTTCAATTTTGATTGAAAATAAATTACCTTGTATTTCCCAGTAAGTGATCGTAAAATGCAATAAAGAAAAAAAAATATTTCACTTGATGCATTTAGGAAAGGAATGTTAAAGTTTTTATAAGAGGTTTTTGAATTTTTTATATAAGAAGGATAACTTAGGAAAATACTATTTCGAATAATAGAAATTATTCTCAGAATATCAAATTAAATAAAAAAAAACTTTTTACTATCGAATAATTAAAATTTTTCAAATTATACACAAGAATTTTAATTTTAATATTATACAAATTTGATGACATTGATATAATTACGTAAACAATTAATTTTACGTTTACGTAACATAGGCAAGTTGTTAATTTCTGCTAAACTTACAAGAAAATGTTCCTAATAGTGCATTTCGATATTCTGAAAAAATTTAAACGAAGGCAATCAAAAAACAACAAACAATTTTAAAATTTTTATTGACAAAATAAACAAAGTTGACTTTTACAAAAAATTTAAAAAAATAAATTTGCTTAACTTCTGCAAATATGTAACTTCTTAACAATATGTAAACACTTGGTAAGATTTCACTACTAAAATTCCATTTAAAGGTTCATATGGATTTGAGAAAAATTGAAGTTTCGGAACGAATGGATTGTGCAAAAATAGAATATTGGGAATGAAAATAAGTTTTGCGGAACAGTTCTTTAAAAATTTGAGCTTGGGGAATTATTTATTTACTGTAATTTCAAATTAAAATAAGTTATAATTAAAATATCTGCGATTCAATTAATTTTTATTAATAATTACTTATACATGTTTTTAGTAAAATGTGCAATATTTTAAATCTAAAAAGCCTAATAAACAGTTGACCTTTTTTAAAACTTTTATAATTACGCATTAAATTTGTACATGCATACATACGCATATGCAAAAGTTTGCAGAAAACCAATTCAGTAATTTAGAATTAAGTATAAAATTCTAAGTGTTATTAACTAGATTTTCGAAAACGTTACATCATAAGTTAAATTTGTTTTCATTTTTATTAATTGATTTAAAAAACTTGTAAAAATTCAGTAAATTATGGGTTTTATGGCTAAATGCATAATTTATAATTTTAATATGCTTGGAAGTTAGAATGGAGGTAATTTTTTTTGGTGAATATTTTTTGCAAAAGTAAGTTTTTTTTTTTAAATTTTGATTTCAAGATAAAAATCGTAAATTTTTTTTTGAATTTTAAGTGTAACATTTTTTTATTTTTCATTTAATTTATTGAAATTTTTAATAGCATTGAATTTTTTGTTTTCTGAAAAATGAAATTTGTAAGTATCTATCAGCTTATATTCTTGTACATAATTTACTCAGCTATGTACATACATACATAAATATTTTCGTAAGTAAGTTTTTGATGCTCTATGTGTTTACCCCACAAGCTTTTGAAGATGATTTAATAAAAATTTTGCAATTGCTATCTATTCCACACAAAAGTTAATTAAACATTTAATTGCATAATACACATACGAAACACTAACAAATTGTGTGCCAAATTATCACCTATACGAAAATCAAAAATGCTTCATGGAGTTGCTCACTGGCGACAATAAAAGGAAAATTTACAAAAAGCTACATTGTATCGCAGGGGAAAATTATATTTTAAAAGCGCCAAACGGAAGGAGTAATGTTATTTTTGCCAAACAAGAAAAAATCTAACATAGGTGTGTATAAGTATTTTTTTTTTAACTTTCCTGTTTCTTTAATTTAGCGGATTACATTTGCGGTACAAGTGGGACGGGCGTAACTTTCTATCTTTATGTTTAACGGTAAATGTTGGACTTACAGTCTTGATTTCATAAATTGCATTTTAAAGTGCACATTGATTAATTCAAATTTCAGTATAACACTAGCTATATATGTACCTACGTACTTATATATGTATAACCATTAGACTATGTAGGTGTTATACAGATAAATTTATTTATTAAGCATAAAATTTTCTGGTCTTTATGTATATATTTAAAAAATTATGTGAAATTTT